TTGCCACAAGTCCTTCAAGCTCCCTGCAGCAGTTTCTACCGATTTCCGGATCTTTCATCTGACTTCATGGCGAGGTTATTTAAGATTTCGACCGGATTATTCCGAAAGTTTCTTCTGAACTCCCCCGGAAGTTTCTACCGTCTTTCCTCTGAAGTGTCTTTTCTGACTTCCCTCGGAAGTTTCTTCCAACATATTCTAAAAATTTCAGTCGACTTCGTCTGGAAGTTCTTTTGACTTCTTCTGGGCGTTTCTTTGAACTTCTTTTGGAATATTCTTCCAACTCCTACCAATGCTTCCGGTTGCCTTTGGAAGTTTCTTCTGGTTTCACCGAAGGTTTCTCCAGATTTTCCCCCAAAATTTTCTTTTTTTATCATCAGGAAGTTATTTCAGTCTTCTCCCGTAAGGTTCTGCCGATTTTTTTTCGGCATCCTCCATGAAATTTCTGGGAAGTTTAGTCTGACTTTCCTCGGTAGATGCTTTCGGTTTCGTCTGGGAGTTTCTTTCAACATCCCTCGGAAGTTCAACCGGATTCCTTGTTTTCCCGGAAGGTTCTCCAGATTTCTGCCGGAAGTTTCTTCTGACTTCCACGGAAAGGTTTTTCAAGCTACCCAACCGGGAAATACAGATTACCGATTTGCATAAAATAATGTAGGATTTTCAAAGTTTCGCAACATGAACAGATTCGGAAATGTGGTTGTTGGAAAGTTTTTAAAATAAAATTGTATGCTAGTTTATTTTTCGAACAAAGTTTTTTTCCCCAAATGCATTGCGTCTAGAAAATCGTCTCGTGAAAGTTTGGTACAAATTTGCAATTTTCATAAAATCATTGCTCAGCAATTTATCAATAGATGTTAAATCTATTGATACCTAATAAATCTTTATAGTATGTAGTTTCAAATGGCACTGTTAGATTTGAAATTCATCAATAAATGGCTGAGTTTTGATTTTTCAAACATTGCAAGTTTGCCGTTACACATTTTACCGGAAGCATCGTGTTCGGAGTGTTAATTTCAGTGTACCACCACTTCAGCTCATCGCCAAAAAAAAACGACACTTCCCAGCGAGAAAAGGGGTACGACACTCGCCCAACTGTCTCATCCTCTCGCGCGTGCCTTCCAGTGGTGTTTGGGTATGTTTTCAGATAATATTTGGAGATTATTAGGTTAAAAGGAATCGAACTGGCTAACGATGGGCAAACAATGAGTATTTTGGGTGCTCTGGCGGTTGCTGACTGGCGCGAAAATCGATATTAATTACACGATTTGACTGCGAGCCAAGCCAGGAAGAACGAAAAGACTTTACGACGCTGGCAATGAATATGACAAATGATGACAAAACCAAACCGACAGGTCTCTCACGAGGGGTGCGCGAGTCTCCACACCTAATTTTCCGGTGCGGGCATGCCATTTATTACGATTAAGGTGATTTTTCCGCGAGCGCGCAAGGCCCCCATGCGAAATGTCAATTTTTCATTATTTGTCAAATGAATGTGCTCCATTTCTCCCTCCGACGTGCGCGATGTAACTTTTGATTAATCATTGAGCTGGCGACGGTCACCGCGACGGACGAGGACGATTTCGAGAGAGTGAACCAAATATTGACTAATTTATGATCCGGGCTGAATGTAAATAAAGGACGTCGTCGGATGCGGTGGTCTTCTCCCGATGTGGCGTCGATTTATTTTCATTACTATTGCTCTGGCCCTGGACCATCCAGACGAACGGACACAGGATTCCTTTTAGGTTACGATTCTGACGGTTACGTAATATGACGCGTGGTGGCGCTGAGGTTTCTAATCCAGATCAACTGCGAGATGTGAGCTCGGAGTTGGGGGATAGGACACGACACAACCAAAGCAAGTTTCTTGCGCGGCCGAGAGTATCGGTCATAATTCATAAGCCGCGGGGAGCAAGCGGGGGCCATGTGTTGCGAGTCGTCTCTTTCAGAAGACTCAGAACGAAAAAATAATCCTTTTTCTGAAGGGATTTCGCCCTCAGCAGCTTTCGTACGTCCGTCCGTCGACGTAGTGTGGCTTCGGTTCCAATTCCGGTGTCATGTCCTCGGTCGGTCGCCTAGATGTATGTAAATAGATATAAATTTTATAAATATACACCGTTGAGGTTGGGGGCAGAGAGGCTTCGAGAGATATTACTTGATGAGTCTTGATGCTTTTTTTTTTGGTTGAGCTTCCAGCACAGGGCAGATGCTGGTCCTGGCCTGGTGAGGACATCTCCTGCCGAAAAAGCGAGGAGCCAAAAATGATATATACCTCTTAGTATTACCATTTCAAATCAGTCGACCGTTACTTTCTGTTTCATGTGCTGCTTTTCCGAGCCGCCGTGTGTACGGTCGCTCTTTTCCCGGCGCGTACAATGATGTCTGTAGCAGAGCCAGCATCATCAAGATTATCTATCACATTATTCTCGAATTCGTGGTTACCTCTTCCCAAGCTGCTGTCGACTCGAGTTTGACTCGAAACGACAACCACTCATCCTTCCAGCCAAGGACGACGACGATGACGACGGAAAACTCGAGCACCGCCATCAGCGTCAAACGAGCGCGACGACCATCACCGGGAAAAATATTGAAAAATATTATTTATTTGTATATTTACAACTCGGTAATGTAATTGCGTTCGAATGCCGGAAGAGACGATCCCCGCACCCGTATCCTTCTATCGATCTGCACCGGTGGAGATATAGAATGGAAAAAAAGCCATGCCCGTAATTAAAAGCAGAGACAGCACTTGAAACTTTGCCACCACTTGAATTTTAACGATTTGTCCCATTCATCGAAGTAGGCAGCCGGGGAAATGACGTACGCGAGTAATCATAATTTTCAGTCCTATCCCTCGATGCTCAGCCATCAATCTATTGAAATTGATACACTCATTAACGGCGGCGGAAACTCCTCAGCTTTGACTCGGTGTCATTAGCCTGATTAATTCCACGCTGCACACGGTGCTCTTGAAAAATAAAATGTATGCGCAGTTTTACGCCCGACAAGTTCCATTATCGACGTACAAGATTTTTACGATCAAACGCCTGAATATATGCCCCCGCACTACACGCAGGATGACAACTGCAAAAAACCACAACAAAAGTCCGTGTCCTTTCCCTTATATATATTTTTTTTATTGTCTCTCAAACAATAAAAATGTGCTACAAGAGTGCGACTACCGTTGTCCGCTCCGTAGAGACCACTTTTGTGGCTTAGAACCCTTCTCACGATGCACGCAAATATTTTAGCGAGAACAAACACACACAAAAACCGGACCGGCACCGACCGAAAAAAATAATCTATACCCTATTTATGAATATATGGAGATTCCACAGCCCCGAGAGCCATTATTGTAAGTATCTCGCCGTTCCTTCCACCCGCGCACGTCGTCATCCACGCTTTGACAACAAAAGAAGGGGGTAGGAATCCGAAACGATCGCCGAAATTGAAAAATTATGTCCTTTTTCTTTATGCCCCTCTGCTCAACTTTGGCCGAATCAGACATAGAACCAGTAGCAGCAGCAGGAGCCATTATTGCGGTCGTCATTAGCTCCACGCGGTCAGTGTCCTATCCCTTCCCACCACCACCGGCACATACTCACTCACTTTTTTTTTCGCGATGATTACTATTATTTCGCTTGTTGTTTTCCCCTTCGCGTTTTGGGTGGACCCGAAAAAAAAATCCGAACACAGCAAGCAGAACAATTCCACGCTTTTACCATTATTGTCATTTGTCAAACGCAAAAATTTGAACAGAGGCGCACGCCGACGACGGAGATGAGTGGGGGCAAAGGAATCGATTTTCTTCCTCCCACGAATCACACAGAAAAATGACTGCGGGTTGCGGCGGGTGACGACCGAAAGTTATTAATAAAATTTGATGAGTTTTCTATGTTCCGTCTGATTTCGAACCGAGCAGAAGAGTTCGGGAATTGTCGAAATTAGTTTCCTTCCCCCCTCCGCTTGTCAGCCACCACTTTTCGCTCTCAACTCAACCGACTCGATCAATTGTTGCGAGAATGAAATACTTTACAACTTTCTTCTGATTGAGCCTGCTTTGTTTTTGCTTCAATTCGAAGGAATTCAACCGAAAAGTGAGTCAAAAGACGGAAGAAGGAGTGCACACTCCGGAAGCAGCTTCCTACCCTCCCATATTTTCCAGCGCTTACTAAGATCAAAATTGGAGATATTAATTTCTCATCATATATCTTGTACCGGTGCTGGGGAGGAACGGAGCTAGGTGGGGGAGGGGTGAATAGTTTGGAAAATTCACTGTCTGAAAATGAGCAGCGATTTAAAAGGAAATTTTCGCCTAGCTGGAAGCGACTGAAGAGTGAAAGGATTTGCGGTATCGTATTTAGAATTTTGATTTATCGCCTCCACCCTCCTCGGAGCGGAACCTGCGTTGAGTAGGGAACGTGAAAATTAATGAAACAGATCAGAATCGAATCGGAGGTGAATTTGTTACTGATGCTTTGCCTTTCATGCTAACCATGAGCTGAGTTGACGTTCGGGAGGGATAGGAAACTAGCAGCAGTCATTGAACGAGCGAGAGTGAAGATTTATTTAGCATTCCTGGCATTCGATTGCACGGACGACGGTTGCCTCCTTGAAGAACGAAGCAAGCTCACACACGCACACAGAAGTCAGTGCCGTCTGTGATTTGAATTCCAATTTGACAGTTGTCTACGACGTCGGTGGGTGGGAAAGTGGGGGGGGATAGGAAATCGACCTCGTCGTCGTTGTGGACCGCAAGAAAGTCGCAAATAAACAGACGATTTATATTTATAACTATTTAATAGATTTACAATAAGACGACATGACGGGAAATTAATTAATTTCGAAAATGCTAAGGCTATGGACAAAGGCGGACGAGGGCGGTGTATGTGAGCTGTCAATTCGCTCGTTGTGACGCCAGCTTAGAGATTATGACAGTATGTCAGCGATAATTAATCAAGCTTATAACTGCAACGTCTGTCCTCTCTTGTCTTGTCCCGCAGATATCGGCACTGTTCGAGGAAGTGGCCCGCCTGCGGACGGCCATTGCCAACATCCAGGAGTCGCACAACCTGCAGATCCAGCGGTTAGAGGACCGCCTGGAGGAAAAGCGACAGCACATCGTGCGGTTAGAGTCCCGCATCGAGAAGCAGCAGGACTTTGACGATTTGAAGAAAGAGAACAAGTAAGTATCGATCCTAGCGGAACCTCCTGCCGCCGGAATCCCGCTTTTATAGCTGACACGTTTTTGCATCTCATTACATCCCTCCCCCGGTAAATCGCGGGCAGGTCGTGATTCGTGATCCCAAAATTGAGCTACCTTACAGGGATGTTTTTCTTTTCGCTTTGCTTTAAAAACAAAACTCACTGTAAGCAAACATAACCTCACCCCTTCAGGGCAATTTTTTCCCCTCTCGGGAAATGAACATCGCGTATATGCGCGAAAAAATTCGCTCCCCCTTCATCTATCAAATTCCGATTTTTTTTTCGGTATTCCCCCATGCCGTGCTTTATGTGTCAGTGGATTTCCCGAACGGCAGTAGGTCAGAAATTTGAAATACAAACCTAATCGTACTCCTGTCTTTTTTCACAGCATACTACGATCGGTAGATCTGAGTTCACCGCACGATTCGAAGCAGTTCCAGGAGCTGCTACTCGAACGCACCAAAGCCCTGGCGGCCCAAACCGAAGCGATCAAATCGTCCAACTCCGAAGGTAAGCCCCAAGCAACCACACTAAACAAAAAAAAAAAGGCATCACAATCAGACCATTTTACACAGCTGATAACAAGAAATGTCGGCAATAAACAACATGCAACAGCTCGAATGCACACGCGGCGGCGCCGCTAGTTTTTACTGCCCTGAGAGCGCCGCCTCCAATCGGCAAGTTATTGATCTACTCGTGCCTTATTGTAGAAATAACAAATTACCTACTATTTGAGAAATTCCAAACAAACCGTTTAAGTGACTGCTTTTTACGGGCACTTTTAGTAAACAAACTGCGTCGGAGGTCCGACACAGTTGGCAGCACTGCAGCGACTAATAAATTTCTCCCGAGCGGCGCCCTCAACCGGAGCAACTCGAGCTCCGAGGAGGAAACTCGCGCCGTTAGACGTAATTATGTTTACATGTTAATGACGTGTATCTTTCCACACTTTGAGATCGATCCCAAACAGCTGGCGCACCGCCGCCGCCGTTGCCGCTGCCGCGTGTATTTTCAGTGTTGCATTTTGTACCGCCACACTCACTCAGAAACTGCCTCCAAACTGTTCTCCCCTGCTTACTCGCTAGATTCCTTCCCCTCACTCAAACCCAGCAGTCGTGATGACGTCTCATCAAAGTTTGACAATCGCACGATTGACCTCGTTTTCAGTTTCTTACTCTTCCCTCATCCCCCCCCCCTGTTCGTTTGCTTGCTGAGCCATTGTTGTTTGCCATCATCGTGCTCTTTCGACACACTCATCATCCTCATCATCCACCTCGAAACATCGAAAACTGGAGTATCATTTTTATTAGTTTTCAGATTTTCCCTACCCATCGGCAAGCCAACCACCCACCCACCGACCCAAACAAACAACACTCACACTCACATTTGCCTTTCAAACGCAGAGCCAAGCGCGAACACTACTTCAACTCGAACCCAGGCCAGTCAGTGTGCCGCTTTCATTCTCACATTAATAAAAAAAAACTTTTTTAAATTAAACACAGAAAATCTCCCACGCGCTTCCACAATCACACTCACTCATCATGATTGCTGCAAGGCAGCTCCACCAAAACTCCAATAATAATAAAATCAAATTTTACGGTGAGCTGATGATTGTTTGAACGCTGACTTTTGAACACTGTTCTGAATCGAAATCCCATGAAAAAAAAAATGATGCACCGCCGTAAAAAAACACAATTCCGGATTCATCAGATTTCCTCTGACCCCGGTTCGCTTCGATTTGCGGTAATTTTTAATTAAAATCAAAATTAAAAATCTCTTATCGCTACTTGGCGATGCGATTTTGACGAACCTGTGAACTGTCAGACGGCTGCACCTCGCGCGATCACGTCTTCTTCCGGGAGTTATTGAATTCAAATTACAATACGCACGGCACCCGAGGAACGAGTGCATCCAAGCATGCCGTGACCGTGGGTGGTGCTACCAGCGAACCATCTTCAGCTCCCGTCCCGTCGTTGTCGTCGATGATGGAATTATTGAAATTTATGGCTTCAGTTATTGTTATTCTACTCCGGTCGCTCTTTCTCTATGCAGTTCGATTTCATGGGAAAATAAACATGTCTTATACACTCCCCCCCCCCCCCCCCCCCCACGCTACGCCGTTTTGATGCTGTACTTTGTGTTTTTTGTTTTTTGGAACACTGCGGAGCTTGCTAAACGTGTTCCCGTTGTTCTTGCTCTTTCTCCTATCTGTCCGTTACAGGATCTCCATCGAGCGGTCAGCCAAAGCCGGCTTCGTCGCCAGCGACGAGCAACTGCAGCACCGCTACGATCGCCCCTCACGCTAGTAACGCTTGTAACGCTAATAACGACCCGCCCAATAGCACCAGCGATAGCACTGCTAGCGCCACCACTGTCAACACTACTTGCAACATCAACAACAGTCAAAATGTCACCAACTGTAGTAGCACTAGTAGTAATGAAACCAACACCGTTTGCGCTCCGAGTCGGCCGGCTTCGAGCCCGACTATCGTGCCGCCGTCTCCTTTGGGCGCTACTTCCCTGACTCCGACTCTTGCCGGTGGCGATAGTCTAGCTCAGCTCAACTCCTTCCTTTCGCCTGCATTGGCAAACGTTGAACAGTTTGGTTCGTTTTTGGGTGAAGAAATCGCCAGCACTTGGCGACGTGGTCTGGAACTGCCGCCGCCTCCGCCGGGACTGGCAGCGGCCGCCGCAGCAGCAGCAGCAGCCGCCGCAGCCGCTCGCAACCATCCACAGCTACTAATGAACCATCATCATCATCCTCCCACAGATCTTACCCAGCACGATCAAGATAAAGCTAGCTCCCATCATGATAACTCCTCCAGTGCTAGCACACCAATCCTGCAGGATACCTCCCGCCATGATGAACACATGAACGGCGGAGGTTTCACCCCGATGCGAATGTCCAAGAGTCCACTCGAGGACAACAACAATACCCTCGGACCGCTGTCACATCCGGGACCTGGTCTGATACAAGGTCTGCCCTTCCAATTCCAAGAACGAGGACACTTCCGGTTCGCCGAAGACCTCCAACTGCCTCCGGGATCGATGGCAGGTCGCCTCGGCGATTCGCTCATTCCCAAGGGCGACCCCATGGAAGCCAAACTGCAGGAAATGCTACGCTACAACATGGACAAGTACGCCAACCAGAACCTGGACACGCTGCACATCTCGCGGCGAGTTCGCGAACTACTCTCCGTACACAACATCGGCCAGCGGCTGTTTGCCAAGTACGTGCTCGGTCTATCGCAGGGAACCGTATCCGAACTGCTTTCGAAACCCAAGCCGTGGGATAAACTCACCGAAAAGGGCCGAGACAGCTACCGAAAGATGCACGCCTGGGCGTGTGACGAAAATGCCGTCCTGCTGCTCAAGTCGCTGATCCCGAAAAAAGGTAAGTCATCGCTTTGCCAATCATTTTTCTCATAGGGTCCCGTCCCCCCTCCGCAAACTCTCCAAACAAACCGAGCACAGACATTTGCCCAAGTCATCGTACCCCGCGGAAACAGTCCGAGTATTGTTATTATATAATTTTTATTATTATCTTCATTAGGGATTGCCCCCCGGGGAACGGCCGCCGAATATTTTTTCTTTTAACCTCCACTCGGAAACAATTGCAGAGTCCTATCCCTCCCGAACAAAACTGGAAAAGCGGGTGCAATTAAAAATTCACCATTTTTTTTTTCGCAGCGCACCTGCACTCCACCCGTTTTTTTTTGCCATGGCCTGCTACACCAACTATTCCGAAAGACGATTTTAATATTCGAAGCTCAATGATACGCCCCTCGTCCCCCTCCCTGGGCGAATCTTTCGGGGGGTAGGGTGATTGCATCTCTCATCCTGTGCAAGTTGAAAATGCGCGCTCGGAAGCATAAATAATATTTTATTAAAAAAGTTTCTCGATCTCTTTCTCTCGCTCACTCGCTCGGTAAAGAAGACGATCCACGCCGCCATGATGGGGTTTGAGGGGCATCTCACTACAAAGTAGCTTTTCTGCTGCTACACTGTCCTATCCCCTGCACGCGGGCGTCTTCTTCCCAGACAACAATCTGATACGGTAGCATTTCGATGCTATTCAAACAGATTTTCGCTCGAGAACGTTGCAGTTTTTTTTTTCGGCTTGAGAAACTGACTCACTTGCCGGGAGGAAAGGGTTTCTGGTATTTATCTTTCATCGAAGAACCTTCAATTGCACCGGCAGCACAGCAGTGCCATTGGATGCGCTCAGACTCCGTCGAAAGATTAATATCAAAAATTTACCAAATTGGCAGATTTTCCCCCCGGTTGCTGCGCTCGGAGGAGAAACAGAGACTAATGAGTGAAGAGTCTTCTGTGCCAGCAGAATTGAGGTTCTGAACCTGCTGCATAACATAACCTCGAAGCGAATGGAAAAAAAAAGAGGCGATCCACTCGGAAGTGCTTCTACGACTTTGATCCCACTGCTCAAAAGAATCAAAAATGCTCTCCACTTGACTTTTGTGTGTGCGGAATGCGCTCGTTCCGTGCACAACTTGAAAGGGCAATCATATTTTTCCCCGGCTAAAAAAAAATCCCCTCTCATCTGGAGGTAAGCAGAACACAGAAATCTCGACTGCCAACCGAACCGGAAGAGCTATTGATTCATAATTAAAATTTCATTGTTTTCCTACGTGCCCCGGTAGCTCTTCCCACGCCAACGCAGTAGGAACGTCAATCCAGGCAACCGAGCCAAACCGATGGAGAGAAGTCTTTGATTAATCATAAAAATCGGTTCCACGTCGTTGGGTCCATCATCATCATCGTCGTCGTCGTCGGAGTTGTCGTCGTTTTCAAAGCGAGGGCGAAACAACAATAATAACTGTTTGAAAACAAGTGGCACCCCCTTCACTGCTACCGCCGCCGCCGCAGCCTATTGTAAATGTCACTTTTTTCACCACGAACGCAGCCATTGTTATTTGCGTGGGTAATTATTGAACGGTTGCTTTGATCGGATTTCCGATTTGAACGATTACACCCCCCTGCCTTGACTCCATCCTCGACAGCCTTCCGGTTCGTTCGAATGATTAATAGTCGCTCGAATGGGTCCGATTAAATGACGTTTCGGGAATGACAGCCGCCGGGATAGAGCTGTCAAATTAATCAGCCGTACTTTGAGAACAAGAATTCCGACCTTATTTTCACACCTTCTTCCGATTAAACATTCACCACCGAAAGAAGCATAAACTGGAGGGGAAAGGGTGTATCCTTTTGTGTTGAACATAGACTACAATCAAACTCATCTATTATTCACGGAAAACAAAGGAAGGAACCGCAAATTCACATGTGCTATTGCTGCTGCTGCTGCTCATCACTGTCTAGTCGTCGCTCGTGGAGCGATAATTATTGTCTTGAATAAATTATAGATAAAGGCAATTTATAGCGCAATCAAGACGGTCCCGAATTCTTCTACTTTGGCAACTTTTTCCGAGCGCAGAAAATCGATTACCCCTAATCCGCTCATTAAACTTGTTTCCTATCCCCCACCCACCCGCATCAGGATAGAAGAACTTGATGGAACGAGTTCGAAATAAAAACTCAAACATTTTCCTTCGAGACGATCCCCACCTCGTGTTTACATATGAAAATGAGCTCAACTTCTTCCCGGGAACGATACCAGAATTTCGGAAAAAGCTGATTTCACGCCGGCTTTGGATCGTTGCAAGATTAAAAACTTTTGCTTCGCGTCTTTACCGGCTCCCTCAGCGCAGGCCATCAATTAATTGACGTGTGTATGTGTTTGCCTACTTACATTCACCCACACTCACACCCCTGCGGAATGAAAACAAAGAACTGCTACAGTTCGAATGGGAGAATCTAATTACTTCCCTCTGCCGGAGAAAAAAAGGGTAGAATTTTCGGAAAAAGTACGAATCACTCCTGCTTCCGCTGCATACCGAATGAATCGTTTAAGACGCCTTCCCTCCCATGTACGGTGCCCTATCCCTCGTCGTTCGGAACAAGAAAAGGGCTGATTCGTCGGGAGCTCTAACGAGTCGTTTAATGATTAGTAAATATTTTTATTCTCTCCGTGCGGCGTCTGCCTCGTCCCCGTTTTTTTCCAGCGGGGGTTTGAGGAGGTCTTAAGCTTTCAGAAGCAGAAAATTAATGCGAATGTATCAGAATTTTAATGACGCCGACGACGCACGGAGAAAAGAATCACAACTCACATCCCACCCCTGCGAATGAATTTGACATTTGCTGTTTCCCATCCCCTCGTCACCACGATATGGCTTTCTAGCGTTCACATTGTCAGCTCATCAGCAATCGCTTTGTGTGACAGTCACAGCCGAAGATATTAAAAACTTTTTAATAACTTTTGCGTTGTTCCAAGATCGGAAATCTTCATTACAAACGGGGGTTGATATGTGAAAGCGCTTCAAAGTCAAACAATCACTAGGAAAATCTGTGCGCAAATTTACTCTAAATTGATGCAAAAATAACCGGCGAAACCAGTTCATCATGATAGCCAGCCAGCCAGCCAGCCAGCCAGCGCTGCAGAACTTTAAGCCAAAAGAAAAACGAGGAAAATTTTCATAATCAGATTACTATCATTACGGTTCACCTTCTCTCGTCATTTCTTCTCGCGCTCATTGTTGGCAGCCCTGACAGCGTTTCTCTCGTTTCTTTTTCGTCGTGTCCATCCCATCGCTATTGGATGCAGCAGGCGGCGCAATATGCTGTTGCTACTCTGTTGCCGTGGCAACTACCACCACCGCGACACGACCGATGTTCAATCGAATGACAGCAGAACAATAGCTGCCAACTGGTTTGAATGAGCGCAGCTATTCCCAAGCATATTACCAGTGCTGCCAGCAAGCAAAATGTCATTTATTTAAATTTTTCCCTGTCCGCCGCCCGTTCCTCCAGCTTGGAACGGTTTTTTTTTCTTTCTACCTCGCGCTGTCATTATGTGGCGAGCTTTTGATTGAGGTAAAACGATCTATGAATGGGACGAAAGCAAGATAAAGCGAAGAGTGAGGGAAATGGAAAAGACATGACAAGATCACATAATAATTGCATGATTCCGTCATTTATCTCGCAGCAGCGACCAACGGCGGCCATCATCCGTCGCCATTTTGCACTCGAAAGGCAACCATCTGTCAAACTAGTTTAATCCGATTAGGCATGGTCGATGGTAGGAAAATAAAAACTCTCCACAAATGTGGATCGTTAGATTTATCGATCAATTTGACAGTCCCGGAACCCCATCCGTATTTTATGGTGACCGGTTCGGTCGTTAATTGCAGTAATAGTTCAACCTCTTAAGCCGGGATTGGCCCTTGAAAAAGTTGAGAATTTATCTTCCGATAATTCAAAATTAATTGCGTTCGATAATTTTTCCGGCCAGCAGAGCAAGAACGAGGTGTAATTACTGCTAGGTTCCTATCCCTCCTAGCTAGCAGCAACATCAACAACCGGTGAAACGATTTACGATAGTGGGTTAAACCTTTCGACCTCTTGGCATTATCCCCGTCCTTACACTCACACTCAAACTGGACTCGACTGGTTACAAACTATCGTCTCCCGAAAGTCCCATTGCGGATCTCGAAGGCAGATAAAGATGTACACACGAAAGCTGGTACGACACAGGAAGGTCAGTGCCCCACACTCCGGACCGTGCTTGCTCCAAACGGCAGCAGTTTAAAAAGTTGCTCCTTTTTTGGACCGGTCAACTGCGCCCCTGCCCCACCTCTACTCTCCGAAAACACGGGGAGTCAAGGTTACCGGAGAGCACTTTCCAGTGTCATTTTCATAATGACGATGATGTTTCCTATCCCCCGCATCATCCATCGTACGTGGTGGTGCGGGTGGATGGTCACTTTGGCATTTAACCTTCTCCAAAATGAAGACATCACTCGTCGCATCCGCTTCTCTCGGAACAGCAGACGGTCGTCGTTTGTGTCGGTGGAGAAGGAGGGAGGAGGTTGAACCGTTTAGTCTGGCTCCAGTCCAGGAGTTAATTGCATGATAATAAATCATCCAGTGTCCTAACCCTCAATTTTTGGCTAGGCGCGAGCGACCATCGATTGCTCTTTGATTTTCGCCTTCCCCATTCATTCAGATTGGTGAAAAAAAAATTATGATTTTTCAACTAAATAGGGTGCCTTCGAAACGATCAAACAATTTTCAAGTTCAATGAAAATTTGCTTCCGCCCGAAATTGGATTTATTTGATTTTTATTAAACCCATGCCCCGTGGTTACACATTCGACATTAGTCTGCTCGCTCGTTGGTTAGCTCCTCGCTCTCGTTTTTTGATTAATCATTTCGCATTTGTTTCCCCTTCAATGGTCCCGAGAACCGGTTTGGCAGCGGAAAAAAAGAAGCAAAATAAAAGCATATTCCTTCCCCCCGAGGGCTCTCGAATTATGACCAA